TTACAAAAAATAATAATAATTAACGTGGAGTTTGGGATGGATGTCCTTTTGTGTGGACCCCTTTGCCCGCACACCCCTGATTTCGCACTGCCTGTGAACTGTAGGTGTCACAGCAGAAAATTTAGCAGAGGCTGCGGTGTTCAGTATTAGCTTCTCGTTATTAATAAAAAAAAATACATGTGCACACACACACACAGAACTAACACTAGGCTTTGTTTACTGACTCTTTGATTTAACTACTGTTTGAAGACGGCCGAATTAGCTGTTAATTGATTTAATTATCCAATTTGTTTGTTTCAGGCATGATTCCAACAGAACTGCAGCAGCTCTGGAAGGAAGTGACAAGCTCGCACACGGCGGAGGAGGCAGCCAGCAACAACCACAGCAGCCTGGACCTGTCCACCACCTGCGTCTCCTCCTCCGCGCCGTCTAAGACCTCCTTAATCATCAACCCGCACGCCTCAACTAATGGACAGTTATCGGTCCACACTCCTAAACGGGAGAGGTAGGTGCCGGTGGGGTTTGCACCCGTGAGCGTCTCTGAACAGCGTGGCGAAATGACGGTGAAATTGTCGGGAGCGGTGACCAACCACCTTGGCCTGGGTTTTGTCCTCCGTGTCTTGCTCTGTCTGGTTTTGGCGTGGTTGAATAGAGTCTCCACTGGGCAGGGTATGCTCCTTTTGTTTGGATCTTTATGGCTTGTTAATTGGATCAATGTGGGCACAATTAGCTAATTAGAAGTGCATTGGATAAGCGTATTGGGGGAAGTGTGAAGGGCATAAGCTGAGGGGTTTTTTCAGTTTTGCATCCCGGGTGGTGGTACTCTTGATGTGCTTTGGGTTTGCAGGCTGGAGGTGAGGAAAAAAAAATCTGTTGGTCAGTACAGGTTGTTTTACCACCCATTTTTCTGCCAAATTTCAGTGCTCTATCTCATCTAATGCTCTTACCTTTTTTTACCCTGGATTTACCTGCTTTCACAAGACAGGATGGGCTTGAGTTCACCAGGTTTCTCTAAAACAAAGTGGATTTTTTTGAAGTGCCGATAAAATTAGCTAACTGGTGTTGTTTGGCTTTTAAAAGTGTGAGTTAATTTATACTTGCTAGGCTTGCATTGTTAAAAGAAATGGCTTAAATCAGGGGTTGTCTGTTGACATGCTTCTCGGCGCGGGCTCTGCTTTATTCGAGAGGATGCTTTATTGCAGGTTTGTTTCTTTACACCCCCAGATTTCACTGAGGCCTGTCTAACAACATAACTTTTGTTTACAGTGAGATGGATGGTCCCAAGAGCTTGGGCTGTGGGTGCCAGCGCCTGCTGCAGCCTCGGCATCGCTGCCGGCTGCCGAGGAGGAGGAGGAGAAGGGTCTCGAGCGTGCAAGCAGCATGGGCGCACCGGGGAGGGCAGTGCTTCTTTGCATTCAGGAGAGTCTCTTTGCCCATCTAGAAATGTTACAGCAGACACTAGTGAAAGCTGGATTTTATGGAAACTGATGGCTTTGTCTTTCCGTCCTCCTTTCATTCATTAGAAAGAGGATAATGGAATTTTTAAGGCATGGAGTTTATATTTCTGGTGGTCTGAAAGTAGATTGATAGGGAAGCTATATAAATACCTCTTATATCTTTCTAATATTAAGAAAATAGTGCTGTTGGGAATAGATAGATTTTAAAGGGGAGCACACCCACTGTTGAAAGAACTGCTGTATGTAAGGTATCATTTTGTATCCATTGCAAGGACACGTGGGGGAACATCAGTGTATACATTTGTAAGGCATGTAAAGTTAAGAACATGGTTTTCATGAAGACTTACATGGGATACTAAAAACAATTTGATGTTTATTAAACAATTAAATTCCAAATTCTCTTTTTTTGCTGCATATAGAGCTGAACAAGATACGTTTATGACTTTTCAATAAATTTTTTATCTATGTTTTTCTTACCGAGTACGTAAAACAAAAGCCCATGCAGTGAAATGGGTCTTCTTTCACTGAACAGCGGGATGTGCTGTCTGCTAATGGCAATCTAACCGAGGAAACAGTATGCCATCGCTGTTAAGTTTGAAATGCAGTGGAAACAGAGAAATCTGTTCTTAAGTAAGGATTTTCTCTGTGTGTACTGTCAAGCAGAACTGGAAATCCATGTGTCTGAGTCCTGTACTTGTGGCCTGGAGGCAATTGGGATCTACAAACAAGGTGATACATATGTTTTTATTGGTAAAGTTCCAAATAAATTAATTAGCAAGGCATAAACATGCCACAGTATTGTTTGAGAACTGTATAGGTTAGAATATTTAAAATCCTCAGTGGTGGCTGAATTGATAGCTGTATTATAAAAGCTTGCTATAAAAAAATCCCTACATATCTGTTGAGTTCTCTACAATATCAAAATACAAAAATAGGTATATTCAGGAATACAAATAAGAGAGCTACAGACTTTGCTTTATCTTGCCTCTGTTTGGTACACTGAAGGTTTTTACCATCCATTTGCTGCAGTGATTGAATTACATCTTTATCCATAAGTAGAGCAGGGGACTACACACAGAAGAATGCCTACTGATGCACTTAAGGGTTTTGTTGCAGTCTCATCAGGCACCGTGGTGCCTGCCTGGATTTCATATGACACAGAAACTCGTCTTGTTGAGATGTGTTGCACTGTTTTCCTTTCTGAAAAGGTGTTTATCTCCAGGCAGGGCGCTTGGGG